CACCATTAATAAATGTTACTAAATATTAAATATCACTGAAATATCTCAACTTATTATGAAAATATTTCAAAAAAAATTTCATTTTCATTTTTTTTTTCAAAACTTTAGTACCCTGTTTTTTCGCAACGGAACATTTTTGGCCCATAGTATATTAGACAAACTATCATTGATTTTTCATGTAGATTTACACCCTTAAATATTCGCATATCATTAACATCCTGTATAATCAGGTCCGGATTTAGAGGTGTGGAGGCTCTGGGGCAACAAGAGAGTGGAAACCCCTAATTATGTTTCAAATACCTAGGTTAAATAATATTTTTCTTGCAGATGTTTCAATCATTTATTTATTTAGTCGTATGATAACACAAAAAGATAGAACAGGCAATCGCAAATAAAATCACAATAAGTATAAAAAAAACAACTTTAAATTAAAGTCTCTCATGGTAATTTTATATGTATGTGTTAAATGTATGTTTATTCATAGCTTGGCTGTTGTTATCTCTAATATAACCTATTAAAGTCTAATGTTCGATATACTGCTTCAATTTTTTATTGAAGAACAGTTACAAAGTAAAAATAAATATTAAAATATTAGACGTTTTTCAAAAAATTGTCTGTAACTGTTTATAATGTTTAAACAAAAATATAAAAGGACACCCCTTGATATCAAAGGCGTATCATTCAGCAGGAAACCTCTGCATTCTCCTACCACAAGTAATTATTAATTATTTCTATGAAATTCATTTATGATGTTAAAAACGTACAGGTGGTTTAACTATCCTTCCATATCGGGTAAGTGTGCCTGTCTTCTCTTCTAATTAAGACAGGCTGTGACAATCTATATTATTTTTATTCGAGTCATGGTCGGAATCTGAAAATTTGTTGGTGTGCAGTTTGAACATTGTTATATGAGATATTTAGTCCCTTGGATTCTATTTCTTCTGATTCATCAATCTCTAATGGGTAAAATCTCTGATTTAGCCGTAGAATCAAAATCCCAGAAGCTGTGCTTAACCTTAACAATCCTATGGATCCATCTTTTCTAGGAACCACTTCTTAAATTCTTGGAAGATTTATTCTCTATTAATCGTTTCCAAGTTTCCAACTTTCAAAAAAGTACTTTTAATTACTTTTTTCCATATTTCAGAGCCAATATGCTTAAATATTCGTTTCTAAATCTATGTTTTAGTTCACTTTTTAGTCTTAGTCGGTATCTATATCTACGTCATAAATCCTGGGCTTCTGCTTGGTCAATATATGGTACTCCTACTTCTTTAGCGTTGTGCAAAAACATTGCCGAAGTCAACGGTTGCCATTCATCTGGATTTTCAGATAAGTATGTTAAATAGCGTTGATTAACAAATGGTTCGAAATCACAAATTATAGTTGTTAATTTTTTGTACGTAAATGTAGTTTTACCCAAAATCTTATTTAACAACGGTTTCAAAATCCTTTTCAAGCGTTCCCACCACCCTTCCAAATTTGCTTGGAGCCAAAAATATCTTTATTGAGCTAGATTGGGACATAATAAGCAAGAAAAGTACTGCTCAGTGATTCAACTGGAAATTTAATCCTCCTTTAGCAGCCTGGTGTTTTCCAGTATATAGTTCAGCAGCTATATTTTTCCCAAGTAAAAGCTCTATTTGTCCATCTTCAGTATCAATTACATTTAAACCCAAGTTTGTTATTTCTTGTGACCAGGGATCATCTTAAAAGGAAAACAATGTTCCCGCAAATTACAAAGTTTTAAATTCATAAGACTGACTATCTAAACTAGATAAATGCGCCTGGTAGCAAGTATGGTTTATGTTTTCAGTTTGGTGACCACAAAAGAGATCATGTACCATCTCTTCTCGTCTTTCAATCGCATATCAACTGCTGTTTCTCTTAAAATATGAGATTTCTGAGACCCAGTGTCTTAAGTGTTCGAATTCTTTTAGTTTGATGTTGGTGTGCTATGTTAAAAGCTGAAGCTTGCAAGAATACTTGGATGGAGGTCTGGTTAGCCAATCCAGTTGTGAGTGCTGGGCTGAATTCTGGTTTAGAAGACGGATGTTTAATTTTTGTTATTTGATTAGTAATACAATTCTTTTCTTCTTCGTTTATTCACATTAAAGGTACATATTTATCACCACACTTTTTAAATTTGAGTCTTGAGTATATGGTGTATTTCCTGACTAAATGTCCGTGCCTCAAACGTCGATAACAACGGCCATTTTTAAGTAATTTCTTTTTCTTTTATAAAAATGTCATTTTCAGAGCTTCTTCGCATTCCGGGCTGTTATTAAAGAAACCTGTAGCGAAAGGAATGCTAGGCTTAATTCCCGTTTCTTTGTTCTTTTCTTTGTTGTCTCAAAGCGTGCAGCTAATGAGATTCTTTCTTTATTTTCGACCTCACGATTCAAAAATATCATTAAGTCGTATAACCTTTTCTTTAACGGGTCGGTCAGCAGAACAAATGTTGAGCTTCAATGCTATTTTATGGCAATCTCGGGATAGAGCATCGCTTGTTACCCCAAATTGGTTTTGTTGGTCAGATTATTCAAAACGGGTTTAACAAGCTCTCTAACGTAATTTCGACCAACATATCGTCTCTACCAAATCTGGACTTTAAATTATCAATTACTTTATTTTTGTTTTCGCCTGTATGTGTGGATAATTATCTACAAGCTGTTTGGCTTTGGAATTGCTAGCCTACAACAAAAATTTAATTTTTTCGTCGTCGTCCATCTCCAAATCTTCGTGGATACGCTTAAATAAACTCCAGAATCTTTAATTTTGTCACCAAAATATTTAAAATCTATTTTTGGAAGGTTCAGTTTTGGTCGACTTGAAGAAACCGAGTCTGTTCAGTTAAAATCTTATTAATATTAAAAGCCAGTGCTCTGAATTTTATCATCTTCGCTTTTTTCATTATTTATTATTTTTGTATTATTTTGTTAGATTCTTCCACGAATTCATCATTTAATTTTTGCAAAAGTTTAAACGTACCTTGGAGCTTCGCTATATCTGGATTCGTTTGCGTTAGAAAAGCTTCTAAATCACCACAGTACGCGTCGAAAGAGCTTCTAAGGCGTTTTAGAACCAAGTTCTCATGTGACGTCTTCTTTTCATAAAAATTTTTAAGCAGTATCTCGTCGTAACATCCAAATAAAGTTGATCTCTAGCATAACCTACTAAAGAAAAGTCTAATGTTCGAGATACTGCTTCAATTATTTATTGAAGAAAAGTAATATAATTTTGAAAGTCTTTTGTGCGCATTTGAGCAATTCTTGTAACAATACTCTCCTATATTCTCTCATGATAATTTGACAACTACGTGGATGACACCGTAAATGTTTGCAATTCATTTTTGTAAACAAAATTAGTCCAGTAGTGTTGAATCCTAATCATTTCAAATTTTTATTTGTCATTTTAAGGGGTAATTTATTAAACAACTTCATCCAGTACGTGTACTTTGAGTTGCCTATTAGTAGGTTCAAATATATTTACGCGTATTTTGAGACCAAATCACGATTGCAGATTCGTACGATGAAAAGACCTTTGAAAAGGTCAGTGCAAAATAAACCGTATAGAGAACCGGTAAACTTTAAATTTTTGCTGCAAAACGTTCTTATCTGTAAAATTAGAATAAAAACCTGTGATAGGAAAAAAGCCTGGATCATCCCTTGGATACCGGAATTAAGGAGAGCTCTCACGTCACCCCTGGATGTAGTTTGGGTAAGTGATTTGGTCTTAATCGTTTTTTCTTAACCGTTTTATTCTTTTTTATTAATTTTTTAAACTATTATTTAATAGAACAATTTTAAAAGACATGCAGTCTATTTTTCTCTGCCTACTGCTTAGGCTATCAACTGTTCCTACTTGCGGGAACGTACATTTTTGTGGTCCTTCGAGCCGTTTTCGATTTTTGATAACTATTCAAAATGTTTAAACAAAAACATAAAAGGGCACCGCTTGAAATCAAAGGCGTTTCATTTAACAGGAAATCTCTTCATTGGTAATTAATTACATTACAATATATCATTTAATTACTGCTTGTATCAAAATGCATACTACTTTCATTTAAATATTGAGTTAAGAGTCTCAATAATGGAAATATCTAGTTAGAGGGAAATAGGATTTTTGTAACAGGTGTCATCGTCAAAGAGTTTCTACAATATCAAGCCTTCCACCCTCATTCAATCAGATTCGAATTATCGTCTAATCAAGGTGAGTTTACTAATATACCGGCAACGTATGTTGTTTCAAAGCTTCCTCTACGGGTGGGAGAATAGCCTTATGTCTCACTTTTCAGTTAACCTTAAAAAATTTTTTTGCTTAGGAGTAGCTTTCACTTCGTCCTTGCTAGGGGGAGATATATTATTCACGTCCTGAACTATTTTTTGCTATTTTTTCTAGTATGCTAATATTTTCACTCCCTCCATCCTCTTTAACAAAACCCTTCAAGGTACATTCCCATATCATTTTCATCCATGCAAAACAAAAACCCATCCCGCAATGTTTAGGCATCGTTTACCCAGAATATCCCGAAACCGCCCCTAGAAAAGATGTTTCTACATTTCAGGGGTGTTCAAATTACCCACATAACCACACAATGGTGTCCTACGCGTCAAATTACGTATTGTACCTGTTTCAAAATCGTCACCCTATTCGTGTTTTAACTATATTTAATGATATCCTATAAATCAATAGTAGACATCTTAATACATTTTTGTATTCATTAAATTTTAGATATTGTTTTATTAATTTTTGTGTAATTGATTTTCTGCAAAAGTTGAAATGCCAGAAGTAGATTGTTATGATCGTTAACCTTATGCTCTAGCTCATTGGTTCAAATTTAGCAAGATAATAGCACAATCCTTGAAGTCTACCAGCTTATTTGTTATTGATAATAATAGTCTTTTGAAAACAAAAAAGATTTCGTCCGATTTTTGTCAATAAAACATATACCTACATAAACCTGCAGATATTACTTACATAATTAAAAAAGTACTTACGAGAAACAATAAGGTTTGCAGTACTCTGCGCTGTTCCCATTTGGTTGGAAGCTTTACAAGAATATTCAGCTTTATCTTCCAAACTAAGGCTCTCAAACTTCAAGACTGCATTTCCATTATTATAAGTGATACCGTAGTCAGGAGAATTATCAATGCAATCACCATTCTTGTACCACTGAACAGTTGGTAGAGGGTTTCCTTCAACTTGGCACTCAAACTGAAATGTCGATCCTTCTTTGGCGTTGGCTGGTTGTAGCGGCTTGATAAAGGAAGGCGGTAACAGCATTTCTTCTGGTTCGTTTTCTTTAACTGACAGAACAGCTGATGTTTCATCTTCTCCCGCTACATTGCTGGCCCTGCAAGTATATCTTGCGGAATCTTCGGCAAAGGTTTCTTCAATTGTCAATGAACATAATCCGTTTTCATAAGTTGTTCGGTAATCAGGATTATTTTGAATAGATATTCCTGCCTTGTACCACGTCATCGTCGGAGTAGGATGTCCTGTTACTTGGCACATGAAAGTAAATTTATTGCCTTCTTGAATTACTGCGTCGCTTAACGGAGACGTGAAAACTGGCGCTTCACTAGCATCCTCTACAATTGGTATTGGCGAAGGTATTCCTCTAGTAGATGATTTTTGAACTTCAATCTTTTGCATATCAGTTATTTCTGTGATTTCAATAGAATTCTTTTTGTGTTCGGCTTTAGCTTTTTCAGCTTTTTCTTTTTCTTCATCTAACTTCTTTTGTCTTTCTTTCTCCTCTATACGTTTAGCTTCAGCTTCTTCTAATTTTCGTTTTTCTTCAGCTAACCTAGCTTCTTCGGCTTTTCTGGCAACATCTGCTAGTTTTGCTTCTTCTAACTTACGTTTTTCTTCTTCTAATTTTCTCCTTTCCTCAGCTAGCCTTGCTTCTTCTGCAAGTTTAGCTTCTTCCGCCTTTTTCTTTTCTTCAGCCAAACGTGCTGCCTCGGCTTGTTTAGCTTCTTCAAGTTTTTGTTTTTCTGCTGCTAGTCTTAGTTCTTCAGCTTGTATTTTCTCTTTGGCCAAGCGAGCTTCCTCTGCTAGTCTTGCTTCTTCTGCTTTTCTTCGTTCTTGAGTTAGCCTAGCTTCTTCCGCTTTCTTTGCTTCGTCTGCTAACCGTTGTTCTTCTTTTAATTTTTCTTCTTCTAGTTTTCTTACTTCCTCTGCTCGTTTAGCTTCTTCTCGTTCTCTTTCTAAACGTTGCCGTTCTTCTTCTGAAGCTCTTAAATTGGCTGCCAGGGTTTTCAATTCTCTTGTGATTGAAGAAAATGATTCAATCATTTCCTTATTGCCACGGAGGACGGGAGCATATTTTGATTCATCAGGACCATACAGCCTAGCAGCTATTTCAGAAATTTTTTCGATTTTTTCGTTTTGCTTTTCTTCACCTGGAGTTAAAAAGCTGGACATTTCTTTTAGTAACTGTTCAGCTTCTTCGGGTTTCTTTACTGAAGTAGATTTTCTAGCTATGCTTACTAAGAGTTTGCTTCCTTCTCTGAACCATTCATCAGCCTAAACGAAACAAAAGATTTTTTTTTGTAATAAAAGTATAAAGAACAAAAGACTGGAAATGGTGTACAACATGAGGTTAGAAAATAGAAGCAATAATTGAAAGCCCTTTGGGTTTAATTTTAGGTTAAATTAAGTCCGTTAGTTAAATGACCCTTCCCAAATTTCCCGCTATGTTAATACTCATTTGTACTTGTATAAATTTTTGTTCTAAAGTTTCAAAAATCAGGATCAAAAATTGCCCGAATTATTGAGGAGTAAATAATTTCTTGATATATGGTGTGATGATTTTAAAACATAATTGATATAATGATGAGGGGCAAAGGCTCTAACTCAATACATATTCTAGACAAGAGGCTAGAAGAGTGATAAACCATGACCAATTCATGGCTAACTTTGAGAAAAATGAAAAAAAATTAAAATAAATGAATAAAACAAAATAGAAAGAAAGATTAAATTGTAAAGAAAATAAACCTTTTAAGCTGGATCGAGACTAAGTTAGAGAGTGACATTATTATTCGCCTCTTACGAATCAGCTGTGTATAGAAAATATATTTTACTTACCTCTTCAACCATCTGGAAGTAATGAACGCTTGTATCGATCAAGCTTCTTGTCGTTTTAACTTGATTTTTCAAATTGTTCCACCTATCTTGTAAAGCAGCGATTTCATTTTGTACGTGGGGTGATTGACTGTGATTCTCAGCTATAAGTTTTTCACTGGATTGGACGAATGATTGTATTCTTTCCTCCATGGCCTGCAATTAAAATGATATTAGTAATTTTTGTTAGAAAATAAAAAGATAGAAAATGTATACCATATTTATATTGGAACAGTAAATGGTTAAACATAAAATAGCACGAAATGGGTACCGAAGGTGTCAATGTCTTCAAGATCACATCTTTTTGGTGAAATAAAAATAGAGAAAATGTTGTTGAGCTAATATTTGAGAATGAACATCACTCTATCTAGTAACATCATTGTACTGAACTGAAAGCCTAAACTAAAAAAACTACAAACAGACAAAGGCTATTATCCCTTGGCAAACCATGTATATCATGCTTAGAAGACACCTCAAGCATCAATATGGTCTTAACAATGTGAACCAAAGGATACGCTAAGTGCACAGGGACTCCTAGCTCTCGTAATTCGTATCTGTCGTGGGTTCTAGACAGGATTTTCTTTGAACTGGGCACAACAACAACACCAACTTACAAGAACTTTTTATTACATAAAAAACAATTATCGTGGTTAGCAACTAGTAAACAAAAATATAACTTATAATAGCGTGAATTGTCTGTGATTGATAGCGAGCGCTTCACAGCCACCAGCCACCATCAGTCAGCTAATTCCCGATCGTCTGCCGGTACCTTACTCCCCTCTCGATTCTCTGCACTACGCGCACTTTGGACCAGCCCGACTTAGCTTAAAGCACACCCCGAATCTCACTTACTGAAACGACATGGACGGGTCTATCCCACCATGGTTATTGGCGGGTTATTTAAATGTTTGGGTGTTTGAAACCGGTACATAAGACAAAATGCGTTCGTATTTCTGATTTGCTTGTCAGGAAGCAAACTTATCAGCAGAAAGCTTGCTTTCAAAAGCAATAAAATGTAGGTGTACTAGACAGGAAAGCAGAAATTACCTGGTATACAGGCGGCACCTAAATCCATGAACAAGTACAATAATCTCACTAAGCTTAGGTAAACAATGTAAACATGCGACAGTATTCCAGGCAGAAATAGTAACAATACATCACTGCACAAAAGAGGTATTAAGACATAAGGTAAATGGAAAAACCATTGTCATATTCTCAGACAGTCAAGCGACGTTAAAAGCACTCAGTTCCATGCAGGTTCACTGAAAACTTGTGTGGGATTGTTTGGAAGTTGGGTAGTCAAAACAGACTAACCTTAACCTGGGTACTAGGCCACAAAGGGGAATGAAGAGGCTGATTTACTAGCCAGAAGAAGGCTCTTATTGGCTTATAACCCTTCTGTGGTATCACAAAAATAGCTATCGGTACATGCACAAAGAAGTAGACGAAAAAAATCTCAAGAATGGTGAAACAATCCACTAAGACAGAGAAAGATCAAATAGTTCCTAATATGACCATCGTCAAAACTAAGGTATCTATTAAACCCTAATAGGAAAAATACTAGAGCACTAGTAGGACAGTAGGACTATTAACAGAAAATTATAGGCTTAACAAAGATATGTATAATATCGTCCTGGCAGAAGAGACTTTGTGCCGATTCTATCAGGAAGAGGAGGAAACTGCAGTACATGTATGATGCTACCGCGAAGGTCTATCAAGACTAAGATTTCTTACATTTAGAGAAGAATAACCAAGGGCAACTAGCTACACCTGAGAGCTACTTCCTAGTCTGTGGAGTCTACCAAAAAAGGCCAAACTAGGTAAGGTACTAAAAACAACGATCAAAGGTCGAGGTAGAGGAGGCTACATAGCTCACAGTCCTAACGAGTTCAAATCTAATCTATCAGTAGAGCTTTAGAGAGAAGTAAGACAGACAGACAGACATTGCTGATGTAATACGAAAAGAAAGAAGCAAAGGCATGAGTATCTCAGACATAAAATGCAATGAACAGAAGTTTATTCAAAAATGTTAGCTAGGTATAAGGTATGTATTTACAATACACCGTAAGGTAGAAGAAAATTTAAAGTTTGAGCAAAGATTGATCGAAAAATATTAAAGAAAGGGTCTCACAATCCTAAAATTTTTTTCATGAATTTGTGTTACAAGCATTACTGGCAAGTTTTCAAGCAATTACAGTAGACTATGGGAAACATCGTTCAAATCATCAAATTGGTAATAAATATTGTTAAAATGAGACATTCTATTAATATGAAATAATGGTCTGTTATGTTATGCTGTTATCTACGAGAACTGCAGAGACACAGATAGGGCAGGACACCATCTCCATCTGCACAACCAGAGGATATCCACAAGGAGGCGTTCTATCCCCACTAATGTGGAGCTTAATCGTAGACGAACTTCTATGCAGATTGACTGACCTCGGCATACCCTGTCAAGGTTATGCCGACGACATAGTCATATTTGCTAGTGGCAAGTTTAGTAATATCCTGTGTGATATAGTCCAACGAGGACTAGAACATACCAGAAGATGGTGCCGTGAAGTGGGACTTAGTATAAACCCTACAAAAACAACACTAGTATCCTTTTCAAGGAGAAGAAAACTTAATCTCAAAACCGTTAAATTAGACGGGATAGATATAGAATGGAAAAATGAAGTCAAATATCTAGGGCCTAACCCTGGACAACAAACTTCTCTGGAACACCCATAAAAAGGAAGTAGTAAATAAGACCACAAAAGCCCTAATGGTATGCAGAAACATTGCAGGTAAACGATGGGGATGTAACCCAAACATACTGCGATGGATGTATACTGCAATAGTGAGACCAATCATCACTTACGGGGCTATAGCCTGGAGTAACAGAACTAGTTTGCATTACTGGTGTAATGAGAACCTGTCCTACGGCCGCAATGGAGGTGATCTTAAATCTCACCCCTCTACATTTGATGATAGAGAATGTGGCAAAAAGGACACGATATAGAATGATCAGAAACGGAGTAATCAAACGAAAGTCTACTTGCTTCAGGACAAAAGATACCTGGGACATGCCCCAGGATGAAATGCAAAAGAAGTACAGTTTCGTAAAAAAACTTCAAAACCACAGAGCTGGGCTGCAAGAAAGAATGGAGTCAAGAATCCATCGCGCTTGCAACCGAAAGACAGCACGTCGACAGTGATATACGGACGGTTCCAAAACCGTAGAAGGAACTGGAATAGGAGTGTATGGGCCGAGAACCAAGCACTCCGAAAGCTTGGGAAAATACCCAAGCATCTTCCAGGCGGAAATTCACGCCATCGAGAAGTGTATCCAGTTTAACATCGAGAGACACTATCATAGACAAGAGATTATCATCATGTCCGATAGTCAAGCAGCCATCAAAGCGCTGAAATCTTACGTAATTAGCTCAAAAATGGTCTGGAGATGCCTAGTCAATTGAATGAGCTAGGCGAGAAAAATAGAGTTACTCTCACTTGGGTCCCGGGACATAACGGGGTACAAGGTAACGAGATTGCAGATAGTCTTGCAAGGAAAGGGGCTCAAACACCCTTTGTAGGACCTGAGCCGTTCTGCGGTATCAGCAGTAACATAATATTAGGAGAGATTAAAAAAGAATTGGGCAGTAGAAGAACCGATAATTGGAACAATCTCTTGGGGCTGAGACAGGCCAAGATACTTCTGGGTGAATATAACCAGAAAAGATCGGAAGCCTGCATCTGCCTGAGCAAGAACAGGGATCCTTATCGGGCATTGCCGACTAAAAGGACACCTAAGTAAACTGAGAGTAGTAGAGGATAGTGAGTGCAGATTCTGTGAGGAGGAGGACGAAACCTCCATTCACATCCTAACTGAATGGGCACTATATCTAGGAGGATATCAAATAGAAGAGGGAGATTTGCCTAACTTGAAGCCACTTCAAATCCTACACTTCCTTGAGAAAATAGGATTTGAATGGTCGCAATAGGCATTGAGACATTTCCTTAGTGCAGTGGCGACAGAAGGGGGCATAATAGATCTTGTAGGTCGCAGTGTATTAACACCCCATTCTCAACATAACATATGCTAAATATAAATTCTGAAAAATGTGAAAACAAAATATTTTTCACAATAATTCGTGTTTTAAAAACCTATATTAAAAATAAATAGTTATTGGCAGTATTGTTTTTGTTGGTTTTCGTTTTTTTATTATAGGGCTATAATTATCTAACTATTGTCCATTATTATCTATTTATAGTTTTAGGCTTTTGCTTTGTTGGCCATAATTTATGTAAAAATACTTTTAGTTTTATAAGTTTTAGAGAGATAAAAATTCTATAATAAACTTTTCTAACCTTAACAGTCTCTTCCAATTCTCCAAATGCTTGTGAAGTGGCTTTAGCGCTAGAAACAGATTCCCCATATTGGCTCTTGATGTGCTTGATTTGTTTGCCAAGATCATCAATATTTTCGTTAATGTTTCTAAGGTCATTATCGAAAGCAGAAATTTGACGATGGGACAATAAGGAATCTTGTCTTTGTCTCCATTGATTTTCAAATTCTGCTCTATGGAGTTCTAAAACGTGTTGTAGTTTGCTGACATCTTGATCAGCTGCATCTGTAGGTTCCTGAAAAATATAAGTATTTTTTTTTGTTGAAAAAATTAATAAAACATAACTAACATGAAGATTGTATTGAAAAAATTCTTGTTTTCATGAAACAGTATTTATTTTCATACCTGAGAAATATTGTCCAACTGTACTTATTTCCCTGGTAATAAAAATAACAAAATATACACTTAAGCACAAAATGATTGATCCATTGTTGTATTTTTAATCTTTAAAAAATGTTTATATTTTACCTGTTTTCTTATCCTTTCACTTATTTGATCGCATTCTGCTTGCGCAAATCTCAACCTCTCTCCAATGGTTTGCTTATGCGCTTCATGTTCCTGTAATATCCTGTCAATTGATGATACATCCTTCGGATAACCAGTTTTCTCTATTTCAGCATTATATAGTTCAGCTTTCTTATCAATTTCTTCTAAATTCCTGAAATATCCTATGAGCACTTGAGAAAGTACTTGATAATCGGACGCAGCATCCTGGAGCTTCTGGTTGAGATCTTGAAGCCTGCTCTGAACGTGAGTAACTGCGCTGCTTTCTTCGGAAGTTTGCTGCACAAGTTTTTCGGTTTCTTTTAGTTTTTGATTTACTTCCGCTTGGGCCCTTCTGATTTCGGGTAACACTGAGGAGAGTTTGTTTTCAATGTGGTCGGCTACGTCTTTAGGTTTGGTTGCGTTAGTTGTTATCACAGGATAGAGTTGGTTTTCTAACTTGGTCACCCAGCTGATAATCTGAAACATAAAACGAAACAATTAGGAAATTTGGTAAAAAAATATTTAAGACAAATTAAAATAGGAATTTATTTGAATACTATTTTTGAATGTTTACGTACACTAAGGCTGTTTTTACGTAATACAGATTATATGTTGTTTAATTTCTACTTGTTTTTTTTCTAGTTTAAAGTCAAACTTCTAACTAGTTCAAGACATTTCGAATTTAAACTCGAAATTTCGAGATCAAAGCCGAAATATCGACTTTAAAGTCGAAATTAAACTTGGCAGAGGCTGTACACGAAGAATATGTTTTCATTACTTCTTCCAAGAGCACAAATAGAAAATTCTTTTACTTTAAACTTCTGTTTGTCAGCATTGTATTAGGTTATGTGTTTATTTGTTTATATTTCTTCGGATTTTAACTAAAAAATATGAATACACGTTATAAAATTATTGTTAAATATTTGCCTATAACACGTTTTATGATGGTAAACATTGCCATTATTGCTAGTCATTCCTGCTATTCTAAGAGGATTGATTAAGTTGCTAATACTACATGGGACAAAAGCACTATTTAAATATCTAACTTTAACTTTATAATAAAATGAATTGATAAATATAGTGCTGTAAATGTTATAATTATAACTTACATTTCGGGTTGTTCTTTATTATTAAAAAAAACCCGATCGGTATTCTCGGGTTTTATGTCGTGAAAAGCTTAAGAATTTGGTTCAAGGTTGTATGTATGACATAAAACCTTTTAAAATGATATAAGGTTTGTTCATCTCATTTTTGATGTCTCTGACTCGTGCATGAATGCATTCGGTCCGTTTATTCGTTCGTTGTTTAATAAGCGACTTGATCTCGAACGCTCTATGTAAATGTATAATTTTGAAACCTTAAGATATATTTTTTTATTAAAACTAAATACGTATTTTATATAAAAAAGGTACACAAGATAAAAAAAATATTCATTTTAATTAAAAGAAATAGAAACCCAAGCCACTCTAAGCTAACTTAAAATCACTACAATAACAAACAAATAGAAGAGACGTTCAAATGCGCATGTGCTGATAAATTGTACAAGCGATGAAGCTCTGGAGAGGGATTCTTATGTGCGTACTCAACTCGTAACGATTCAAATATAGATAGACATTACATACAAATCGCATTCTGTGGAACGAAGATAGTCGTCTCAACACGTGCTGTATTGAAAGATGAGAATCAAAATGCTGATCGTTTTGACAATCCGCCGACTCATTCATGTATAAATTAGAAAATACGTTGGAACGTTTTACTGACAGTTCATCGGATTATCCGTGGCATTGTAGGAACGGACTATTTTCAATGCACATGCGTCTGATGTCCTTCTGGTGATCAGATTCGCTGTTGGAACAAACAAGGTTTGTTCCAACCAAGAGTTTTGTACCGTTTCGAAACGGTACACCGGATCGTTCAATTAGCTTGTTATTCGCAGAAAATCTGAAAAACAATTATTTAATTCAAATCCAAACAAAAAAAAACGGGCCTTGCTAGTTTCATTGTACGCAGTGCCATAGGCGCCGGAATTCAAAAATCGCTGTGGGTGCCCGGCACGAAAATGGGGGCTACCCCCCCCCCCTCCATAACTCACTTAAAGGCACCACCGGTTTTTTAAAAAGCTATTGTCAACTGTCCAATTGCTGGATATGCTGGAGGCTCCCTCATAAAATGGGATACCTGGTAACCCTATATGCTCGATGCAGCCACCACTGGTATTTTGAAGGTATTTTTAAATAAATTATAACCCCCAAATTTTAAATCGCCACTGTCTTCCTAGACTAGGCATCTGACGCTATACCAACTTGGGCCACGACAGCTTCTTCATTTCACTTATTCACACTTTTTGTCCTCGTTGTGCTCTGGGTGCTCCGCACCCTATTCAAAACTGCTCTGGGTGCTTGCGCACCCGGAGCCCCGAGGATTCGGCGCCTATCCTGTCAATCCAAGCGATATCTGGTAACCCTATATGCTCGATGCAGCCACCACTGGTATTTTGAAGGTATTTTTAAATAGATTATAACCCCCGAAATTTTAAATCGCCACTGTCTTCCTAGACATTATCTTTTAACGATTTTTATTTTCTGTAAAAGCCTACCAGTTAATCGAGTAAATGCTAGAAGTGCTGATTCTGGGCCTCCATGCAATAATAGAGGTTTTGTTCAAAATGCTATCGGACATTTTGAAGCATCTATGGGGTTATTTGATGACATTCATCAATTATCCGTCGTTGTCGCAGATTTTCCAGTGATGTTGGCTGGGTGGCATCATTTTCAATCAACTCTAGTAATGCTAAATAAATAGCGTTTTCTAATAATTCCAGATACATTTCTGCGGTTAAAGTTTCTGGTAAAAATGGGGCCCATTATACGGTTACCAAAAATGATAGCCCAAACATTTAGTTTTTCTGGATGTTGCGTATGTACTTCATAAAATATTCTGGGATTCGAATCGGAACAATAACGACAGTTGTGACGATTTACCGTACCATTTAGGAAAAAAGTGCATTGTCTGAGTAACACACATTGAAAAGAAATTGCTGATCATTTAATACCCGTTCAGTCATAATTTCACAAAATTGTAATCGCCTATCAAAATCGTCTTCATTAAGTTCTTTTACCAGATGTATTTTGTAGGAATAAAACTTTCAATATCTTCTGAATACTACGTCTCTTAATACCAGATGTTATCGCCAACTGTCTTGTACTCAATATGGGTTTATGAACAACATGTCCTAAAATCGCCACCTCTGTAGCTTCATTTACTACAGAATTTTCCATTTCACGTTATTTGTTAGCTACTGACCCCGTTTTGTCGATTTTGATTGTTAAACAGTTAGGCAGTTCTATAAGCACATTTATTGTTCGCAAAAAAGTTAAATTATTTGCACCCTCTTAGCAATAGAGTAAAACATCACTGATATGCCACTTTTATGCCGACTTTATAACGAAATAAACTTAACCTTACTACTTTACGGCGACCAAAGAATGTCATCTGATAATAATAATTGAGAGCCACAGGAATAAAAGTTAAATTGTTACAAAGAATTCCTTTTTTTTTTTAATAACAATGTAAAAATTATGTTTACCGGTTTTGTACTTTTGGTGAGCCACTGTATGGGCTACATAGATAGTAGCGATGTAAAACTCGGGGGTTATTATCTAGATAAAAATACCTTCAAAATAACATATCATTCGACCAATCTTTCCATTTAAGATATAACTGGTGAGTCTCACTCCCGATAGAGGGTTTCCGCTTAGGGGGTGCAACTGCCAAAACAATATTCCCCCGTAAAAAACAAAATTGACTGGTCCAAGCGTTTTTTAGTAGATGATCTGGTTTCTCGCCAGCAATACTAGAGAGCTGTTTCTAACTCTAAATGAACGTTTTTTTCTAACGGTGCTTGATCAGGAGCAACTTTCAAATGTTCTCCCTTTTCCCCTTAAGCATTTGCTCAATGGCATATGTACAAAGATCTTATCTTGATAATTGTAGACCGTTAATAATCTTTATTTTTTGACCTCATAGGGTTTTATACACCAAAAATAATAAACCCTTAAGTTCAACGCGCTGTCTATGACAAGTTACGGCGACTTTTTTATCACAAAAAATATAGCTCCGAACGATAATATTTTATTGAGGCATCTGACGCTATACCAACTTGGGCCACGACAGCTTCTTCATTTCACTTATTGACACTTTTTGTCCTCGTTGTGCTCTGGGTGCTCCGCACCCTGTTCAAAACTGCTCTGGGTGCTTGCGCACCCGGAGCCCCGAGGATTCGGCGCCTATGCGCAGTGCGCATGTCAATCCAAGCGATACCAGGTTTGTTCCAACACAATAGCAAATCGGTTTTCGTACCGTTCAGTAATTTCCCTGAAAAAAATCCAATTCCGTCAGAAAATTATTCTAGAAAAAACTACTTCCTAAATTGCAAGCAGTGCTCAAAAACAGAAAAAAGAATCCAAACATCATTTAGATGCAAAAGATGCGAGGGAACCATCCCATTGTGCCCGGCTTGTTTCGAGTGGTACCACAAAAATAATGATTAGTAGAAGTAGGCATATATTGCAGTTTCTTTTGTTCTAATTACTTAATGTTCTCACTTTAAATGTAAATAAAAATATGTTCAGTTTTTTGTTGTTTATTACTGCTATAGTAGTACTGCAATAGCAGTACGCTGTCCCATAGTGTCAAAAAATTTTACCCAGGGGGATAGTACTTCTATAGCAGTAGTGCATTTTTTCTACAAAAGTCAACTTCTAATCATACACAAGTACCCCTGTTTAAATTTAATGAAAATCTATCGACGCGTTTAGAAGTTACGGCAGTGTATTTCTGAAGTACCCCACCAATTTCTCACTGTCCGTCAACGTGTTAATATACACTATTTAGCTTGTTTAGATGATGAAGAATAACAACACGAGAAGATGTGTTCACGATATTTCTCCAAGCGTCCAGAGGCGAGTTCGGATAGTCAGGGGCTGGAGCGGGACAAAAGCGGAGTTTTTTAGGGTGTTTTTAAATGACATTTAAGTGTGTTAAAATGTCACTAATCGGACTAAACCGAACGCTAAAAGGATAGGTTGGAGTAAAAAGTGTTAAAGGAGTTAAAGGAACTTGGCAGACCGAACGCAATGCAGGTCTCACCTGAGGCTCGCCCTTGAATCTGTTTGTCTCGACCTGCAAAATACTACTTTCCGGTCTTGTAACAAAATTATAAAATCACGAGTGCGTAATAAGCTTACAACTCGTGTAACGTACTATACTTTTCCTACGCTCACTTAAAACATTCTCCGAAAAGGTTTAACGTTATGTCACCAATCCAATAATGTTCTATAGGTAATTTCGTACCTTTCCTTGGATTTTAGCGGTAACAAATTATGTGTGACAGCTTGAGTTTTTTCTAAAATCTCTGGTAGAGTGATCATAATTTCATCACTTTCACTACTAACAAACATATTCGTAGGTAAAGTTGA